GGAAACTAGATAGGGAGCTGAAATTACAGGCAGCTTGCACTCTCATGTACTCGGAGACACTGGAGGGTTTGGCAGGGAGCTCAGTCCCTGGTGGCAGCAGGATCTTCTCTTCATCAACAGGGATCATGCGGGAGCTGGGAAAAACGGACAGTTCTGGTTTTCCATACGTCCCTGGGCCAGTCGCCGAGCCCGTTGCTCGGGCTTTGCTTTTAGCATGGGTTGAAGAGGACGTGTGTGAGCTGCCGTTGAAGGCCCTGCTCCCAGCTGTGCTTCAGCCGGCTCCTGCCCGCCCCCCTTGGCTGCGCAACCACTGCTCTTGGCACGGGTGGCGAGCTGGACCAGAGATGCAGGAAACCTTCCCGCAGAAACCAAGGAGAGGATAGGACCATTCCTTTCAGTCTGTGCTTAAATTGTGTTAGGCTGGGCTGCAGCCTGAGTCTCGGGGGAGATGGTCCTTGGAGGAGTTCGAGCAAGAGTGCTGGGATATTTCACTCCTTTGCTGGAAGTGAGAACCCAGAGACAGGAACACAAAGTGAAGGGTGAGCTTGCAGCATGTCCACTATCCTTCAGTAAATATCCATTGGTGTGTTCTTACCTCCTGTTAATTGCAGGGTAAATTATCCTCCTTTCGCAGGGATTGCCCTGATGTGCACGTACCTGAATTACCTCACCTTGAGGGTGTAATTCCGCTGCAACCGCTGACCCCTGGTGAATTGTTACCCTGCAACACCCTTGAGCCTCTCTGCTTTGAATCACTTCCCCACTTTGAGGCTCTAACCCTGATGGCATGCTGTAAACCAAGCTTTTCCCCAGCCCAGGGTCTTCTGAGCGATGCTGGGCTCCTTTTTTATCTGTTTGTGTCTGACATCCAGCCCTGTGCGAAAGCACCGAAGTGGCCGTCCTTCCGCTGCTCCGTAGCTCGGGTCATTTCAGACACCTCCCTGGCAGCTGCAGAGCTGATAGGAAGCAGCAAAACTTCCACCGTGGATTATCAGGAACACTACTGAGGCATTGCTTCATGCATCTGATATCTAAGCCTGGATAACAGAAACCATACAGCCGAGAGAAAAAAAAGGGGCTGGCAGCTATTGCAGGAATTCAGAGAGGGGCACCTTGGTAAAGAGCCGGGAGGGGGGATGCGTTTACTTCCATTACAGAGCCCGGGGCTGAGATGGATTCTCTCTCCGTCATTGTCCTAAGCACATTATCCCTGAAAGAAAGAGGGTTTCTCTGAATCTGCAATTTTTCTAGGCTTCAGTGTTATTGAAATGAAACCGCTTCAAGGATATCTACATTCTTTACCATCATATGGATTCTCATCTCATGTAAATTATTTGGCCACTTTTCATTTTAATCCTCCACTGTCATTTTCTACAAAAGAGATCATTTGGTTTCTTCATTGAAGGTATTCAGCTGACAGCTGCCCTTTGTCTAGAAAGCAGTGTGCCTTTGCAGCATTTACTTGTGCCTGCTCTTTTCTTCTCTTTTTTTTTCTCCTTTTAGGTTCATACTGCTTCATATTTTTCAGCTGTAGTTTTCAGGAACTTCTCAGATTGCGAACAGGCTGTGGTTTGTAGCTGTGAAGAGAAATTCAGACGTCCCATGTTCTTTCCCTGTCCCTTAGCAAGGGGATACCTGGCTGATAAGGAACAGAACTGGATGCAAATTAATTAATTTCCTGCTTGCAAGAAGAACTGTAGTTAAAAAACAAAAAAAACCCCAGTGTTTTCACAGCTGCTACATGAGCAAACCAAAATAGTCAGAGGTGAAGTCTGGAATTCTTTTCCATGGCTTCTGTATCACGAAAAATCAGTTAGTCCTGCCTACTTCCCAGAAATGTTGGGAAGCTTTCAGTGTTGTGGTTTGTGTCATGGTAAGCTGATACCCTTTTGTGATTCTATGGTAGGGGTCAGTAGTGGCTCTTGTGTTGTCTTCATCAACTGGTGTCTGTGTTTCTTGCATCAACATAAGAATGGGCTGTTCAAGTATACATCGATTCATAGAATCATAGAATGGTTTGGGTTGAAAGGGCCCTTAAAGATCATCAAGTTCCAACCCCCCTGCCATGGGCAGGGACACCTTCCACTAGACCAGGTTGCTCCAAGCCTCATCCAGCCTGGCCTGGGACACTCCCAGGGATGGGGCATCCACAGCTTCTCTGGGCAACCTGTTCCAGTGCCTCCCCACCCTCTCCAGGAAGAATTTCTTCCTGATATCTAATCTAAACCTCCTCACTTTCAATTTAAACCTGTTCCCCCTTGTCCTGTCACTCCCTGCCCTTGTAAAAAGTCCCCCCCAGCTTCCTTGTAGCCCCTTCAGGCACTGGAAGGCTGCAATAAGGTCTCCCCGGAGCCTTCTCTTCTCCAGGCTGAACAAGCCCAACTCTCTCAGCCTTTCATCATAGCAGAGGGGCTCCAGCCCTCGGAGCATCTCCGTGGCCTCCTCTGGACTCGCTCCAACCGGTCAATATCCTTCTAATGTTGAGGGCTCCACAGCTGGACGCAGCACTCCAGGTGGGGTCTCACAAGAGCAGAGCGGAGGGGATTCTTAATTTTACATCTTTTGTCATTTCTTCCAGAAAGTTAGGCCTTCTCTACACTGGCTTTGTGACCACAGATGATCTAGATCCATACTATTGCATGATATCAGGGTTTCGCTTTCTGCTTTTGGTACATCACTCTGTAGATCCATCCGGTTTTCTAAATTTATGGGATTTCTTTCATGGTGTTTGTTTTTGACAAGTACCTATAAACAGATACATAATGTTTATCAAAGGGAGCCCGTAAAATAGCTGCTGTGGCTACCAGTATTTGCTGAGTTAATTTTTATACATATAATAATGACCTGGATTCCTGATTAAGACTCCAGGCCGTATGATATATTCAGGTAAATAATACACAGCAGTTTCCAGTCTTGATGTTCCTTTCTCTCATGGCACTTAAAAGAGGAAATAGTTTGGCTCTGGGCAGAGTGGAGTTCTCTGATTTGTAGGTGGGAGAGCCGAGATACGGTCATGAGGCATTAGACTGGGATTCTGAGCTTCTGCTTCCTTCACTAGCTACTAGAAAAAGCATTTTCTGGTTTGTTTTCCAAGCTCTTCATTCCAAAAAAACCCAACTTTGTACAGAACACAACCCCTTTGAACAGAATTTTGCAAATTAAGATAGACACACATATCACTTTAAAGGCTATAAGAATGGAAAGGATGATGTGTATGGAAGGGGAAAGAATATACTTTTTAAAATATCATCCCCAGAGGCTGGGGATAGCACTCAAAGTGGAGGGGAAAGAAAATCCCTTGCTGACGATTCAGGGAGCCTTCCTGCTGGTGCCAGTGCCAGAGCTGACTGTGCTACGTGCTTGAAGCTTCCCAGAAAGTAAATGTAACCAGGATGCCCTCTTCTTCAGGTCCAACGGCAAATATCTCAGCCACCTTCGTAGGTTCGAGCTTAGTGGGAACTGCAGTTATCGCCAGTCTCTCCAGATGTACTTCCTACGAGCACCTCAGAGGTCCAGGGGAAGAGTAGTGGATGTTCACGTGTAAATGCGATTGCCTCCAAAGCCCAAATCGGTAGTACAGGCATAGTCTGCCCTTCATTTAGTGAAGATGGAGCTATTTCTGTGGTTCCGTGTGCTCTCTAAGCTAGGAAATCAAGCAGAATACATTAGTGTGCAAATAATTGTGCTAATGTGGGATTTGTCTTAGTCAGGGAGTAGCAGCTTGAGATAGGACTGGGTTTGAGGGCATAGCTGCAACTGTAAATAATAAGGGGATGGAGAAGGAGTACCTGAAATTCAAACTGAATGTTCAGACTTCGTATTTAGAGTGAATTGAAGTAAACTGGTAGTGAAGTAGTGGTATCTCCATTAGTACCACTTATTCAACAGAAGGTTGGACAGAAACAATTGCTGCGTGGAACAGAATCCAGGTTTCCACATAAAGGAAGGGTGCTGGGATCTACTGGAGGAGAAATATGGCCATGGAAAATAATAATTGCTTAAATATGCCTACCTCTCCTACTGCCAAATGATCTACAATTAAGGGAAATACCTTCTTGTCAAATACAGAGCAGCTGTCCAACAGCTGTACCTGTCGCTGATCGGAGTTGATCAAAGGATTCTTAGGATTAGGTATTGCGGACAATCTGCAGAAAAGATGTGGTAGTCCCTGCTTATCGGAGTCCATTGAAGTAAACAGGACTTTTTGGTGCTTTTAATGCAAATCTGATAAGCCCTGTAGAATGTAAATCAGTTCATTAAAATTTGTAAGGCACTTAAACGAAGTAAAAGAGAAAACAGTTTAACTTTTGTAAGATGTTTACTGCATATAAAATCACAATTATTGAGGAAAAAATAATAAGGTTAAAATTTGGAATGCTCAATACGTTGTTCTGGAGAAAACTGAAAAGTTTTAAATGGTGAGTTTTAAAAGATAGAACTAGTCTGACTCTAGAAATCCCACTGTATTACTGTGGAATTTTGTCGGTACGAGCTTCGCACCCTAACTGTCTAAAGTACACAATATTTGTGTGTAGTATATAATTATATATTAACCCAGGGATGAAAGTAAACACCGAATAGCTCCTGCATTGGTAGGACTCTGCCTACGCCGGGGGTATGTCAGGAAAAAAATAGGTTAACGATGCTAACAAAAGGCAGAGGCATGGCCCGCGGTGTCTTGTGACACGATGCTTCACTTGGCGGTGGTAACTCTGACACTCGCGGCATCGCCTGCTTTCTTGTATCTCCTAGCGCAGTATTCCAAATGCCGAGACAATGTTTATTTGTCCGAGGAGTTTTGGGAGGTTTTATCCACTCTATGTGGCTGTGAGCGCACGCTGGTGTTACCTCATGCGGGTTGACACAAAACTTCCTGTGTTATCTCTGCCAGAGTGATGCTTACCCCGGCCGTTGACACCTTGCAGTGAAGCTGCTTCGGAGCATTCATGCTCTGATTTCTGAAAAAAGCTTTATTTTTTCTTTTTCTCCCCCCTTTGCAGTTACTTCAATGAGAACCAATATCCAGACGAGGCAAAGCGAGAAGAAATTGCCAACGCCTGTAACGCAGTTATACAAAAGCCAGGTGAGGAGCTGCTCGCGGTGTCCTTTCCAAAGGCAATTGTAATTAGATTTCAATATCTCCTGCTAAATTCAGCAAATCTCATTTCGTGGCTGTTACTAACAAACGGAGTGCTCTCAACTAGTCGTGGCTTTCTTCTTGAGCATTCTGTAACGTGTTGTCGTGGTTTAGTCCCAGTAAACAACCAAGTACCACACAGCCGCTCGCTCACCTCGGTAGGATGGGGGAGAGGATTGGAGGAAATAGATAAAGAGAACTTGAGGGTTGAGAGAAGGACAGTTTAATAATTGAAAATAAATGAAATTAAATAATTATATTAATACTACTACTACTAGTACTATGTAATGAAAATGCTACTACTAATGATGATGATAATAATATGTAATAACACCAAAAAAATTATACAGCTGCTCACCACTGGCTGACGGATGCTCCACCAGTTCCCAAGCAGTGATTTCCCCTCCCGGCCAGCTCCCCCAACTCATACACCGAGCGTGACGTTTGATGGCATGAAACGTCCCTTTGGTCACTGGGATCAGCTGTCTGGGCTGTGTCCCAGCTTCTACAAGAAGTTGGGATTGCAGGTGCAATATCAGAAACTGAGAAGGTCTTTGACTTGGTATAAACATTCCTTACCAACAACTAAAAACCTTAGTGTTATCAATATTTTTCTCAGCCCAAATCCAAGCCAGCCTGGCCCAAATCCAAAACAGCCTCATACTAGCTACTGTGAAGACAATTAACCCTGTCCCAGCTAAAACCAGCACACTTGTGTTGTTCAGAGTTGCCCTACTTAGAATCATAGAATCACAGAATGGTTTGAGTTGGAAGGGAACTTAAAGATCATCTAGTTCCAACCCCCCTGCCATGGGCAGGGACACCTTCCACTAGACCAGGTTGCTCAAAGCCACATCCAGCCTGGCCTTGGACACTTCCAGGGATGGGGCATCCACAGCTTCTCTGGGCAACCTGTCCCAGTGCCTCCCCACCCTCTCCGGGAAGAATTTCTTCCTGACATCTAATCTAAACCTCCCTGATTTCAATTTATACCCGTTACCCCTTGTCCTATCACTACAGGCTCTTGTAAAAAGTCCTCTCCCAGTACCCTTGTAGCCCGTTCAGGTACTGGAAAGCTGCAATGAGGTCTCCTTGGAGCCTCCTCTTCTCCAGGCTGAACAAGCCCAATTCCAGGGGAATTGGATAAATGTGGCCATCAGTGCAGTTTTCAAACCGAAATGCCAACATGGGAAACTTAAATTCCCACCAGTTGAGATGTGAAGTGCAAGTTGTGTGTCTGAACCTTTTCATATCCAGCTTTGTAAGTGGCATTGCTAAGAAAAGAAACGTCTGAAAGGTTTCCATTATAAACCTGTCTGAAAACATAAATTCTTTATATTCAGTTATTTCACAGGACTTCTGTAAGCACTCAGTAGTGATAGGAGAATTTTATTACACTCCATGAAAGGGGGTTTTACTGGTTCCATTTTACAGATGGGAAAACTTAGGTTCACGGGCTGAGGCTGGCTGAAGATCATACAGCACATCCTCCGAGGAGTAAGGAGCACAGCTTTCCTGTCTTTCAGTCTTCCTGACAGCTTCTAGACAGGGCTGTTTTAGTAGAATCTGCATGCTAACAAAGTACAGGTACAAATTGAAAACAGGGAGGTTTAGATTAGATATCAGGAAGAAATTCTTCACAGAGAGGGTGGGGAGGCACTGGAACCGGTTGCCCAGAGAAGCTGTGGATGCCCCATCCCTGGAAGTGTCCAAGGCCAGGCTGGATGAGGCTTGGAGCAACCTGGTTTAGTGGAAGGTGTCCCTGCCCATGGCAGGGGGTGGGACTGGGTGGGCTTTAAGGTCCCTTCCAACCCAAACCATTCTGTGATTCTATGATTCTATGACCTTGTATTTGGGTCAACAGGTTGCATTTTCCCCTGTTCCTGGAGAGTCAGGCTTGGGAGATGAGCATGAATATTCAGTGTAGTGTTAGTCGATGCACCTACCTTTGCTTGGTTTTGCTAACCAAACATTTACATCGTTTTCAGAACTTGTGTTTTGGATATATTTAGACTTTATATAACTGGAGTGGTGAGGCCCTGGGACAGGTTGCCCAGAGAAGCTGTGGATGCCCCATCCCTGGAAGTGTCCAAGGCCAGGCTGGATGAGGCTTGGAGCAACCTGGTCTAGTGGAAGGTGTCCTTGCCCATGGCAGGAGGGGTGGAACTGGGTGATCTTTAAGGTCCCTTCCAACCTGAACCATTCCATGATTTTATGACCTGGTCAGGCAGGACCAGTTTAGATTAGGTTGCTCAGGGCTTTACCTTGTTCAGTGTAGAGTATCTCCAAAACCAGAGGTTGTCCCACCTCTGGGCCCCTGTTCCACAATGTCGAGTACTCATGGCAAAATATGTTTTCCTAATACCTAATTGTCAAAATTCCCCTTGTTCCAACTTTTATGTGTTGCCTCTTGTCTTTTGGCTGTGGAAGGAGAAGGATCTATCGGGTAGAGCGCTGAAGAGGTGAGGATTTTATTCCTGGCTGTGGTGCTGGTTGGTTGAGCAGCTTGGACTAAACTGCTTCAGGATCAGTAAACTGTTGTGAGTGGTACTGATGCAAAGCGTTAGGAAACAGCGTAGCTATTCCCAGATTTTTCCTTCTTTCACTCGTCTCATCTCATCTCTCCTGACTTAAGTTTGCAGATTGCTGCATTTACATGAATCCTTTGTATGCTGAATAAATAAACTTTGAGAAACAGGCTGACGCGGGGGAGTCTCAGCCCCATGTAACCAATATTTTCTGTAGGGTCAAGGCCAACGGAAGAGTTTTCCGTGATGTCCTTGCAGTGCTGAATCCCTCCAGTCTTCCCTCTTTCCTGCTGGTGACCAGGCAAAGGCATTGTTGCCTGTAGCTGATTTTGGGGGTTTTTTTGCTGCTGTAAGTGTAAAACTCCAGTGATCTGTTTTCCAGCATCGCCCCCCCATTCTCCCGAAAGGTCGCACATCTCCTGGCCCACTTGGGAGGGTGTGATTAGCGCTGCCATAGCAGCTGGGAAGGAAAGCAGGTTGGAGGGGACGACCCAAAATCTCTTCTTTCGTTCTGCTGCCGAAGAAAACACGCCGTTGAACGATATCCTCGCGGTGCATAGTAAAAGAGCTAGCCCAAGGGTATGCGATTTGTGGCATTTGAGTTTTTTGAATCTCAGTTTTGTGCCTGAAGTCGAAACAGCAGTCCTCTCTCCTCCCACAGCTCTGGGTTTACTTGAAGAAGCTGCAGAGAAATCCCTGTATTTCAGATTTTTTTTTTAAAAAAAGGCGGCTACTTTGTTTTTAGAAGGATATTTGGTGATTATTACCCTGGCATCCAGGCACAGCACTGTGATCCACATAAAATTCATTTTATTCTTGGTTATAATAACTTGCTGTCTGTATTTCAGGGGGTTATCATGTGCGTAAGGGTCTTTGCCTGCCCCTGGAACCCAGGGAGTAACAATGCTGTGGTTTTCCCCTCTCCCCATTGTTTTCCTAGGAAAAAAGTTATCAGATTTGGAGCGAGTTACCTCCCTTAAAGTGTACAATTGGTTTGCCAACCGAAGAAAGGAAATTAAGAGAAGAGCCAATATCGGTAATGTATCAGGGAGCCTGCTTTCAGGGTTTGGTACGTAGACTCGCTCGGGAGAGGTGGAAATTACGTAAGATTGTATTACGAAAAATATGAGAGGTTCTGACATTCTTAGCAGAGCGATTTTTAAAATTGCTGTTCCAGAGTTTTTTCTAAAATATGGGTAGAAATTTCACTTACGGAATTCCATCAGCGATGCAGAAAAAATGATGCGGTTATGAGGCTTTACTGGAAGATGAGTATGAAAAACCCAAGTGAGAATTTTACTGGGGGAAGGAGAATATTTCCCTGTGCTCAGGCTCCTTTGGGTATCCTGAATAAGACCTAAAATAAACCCTTGTAATATCTGCATAGGAAATAAGGGAAATTGAGGTGATTGCAGGTTCACAACCTTAGCGTGCTGTTTAAATGAGAAGTGGCTGTTGTGAAGAGCTTTGTAACTTTCCTTGTATCTGTGTTTCACCAAAATGTGCTTGTTCACTTAGCCAAAACCTGGGGAGGGGTGGGAGGGTGTCCTACTGCCATCCCTGAGACCCGGCAGGGACCTGGGAGTCCGGATGAGTTGTTTTACGTCTCGGATAGAGCCGCTGAGACCGAAGGCTCTGCAAGCCGACTTCTCGTTCCAGTTACACCTGTGCTCCTTGCTCCTTGACAAGTGACTGGGAGGAATAAAGTAATAATTTTTCTTGATGATCAGGGTAAACCAAAAGTCACTTCCGAGTTAGCCCTGCGGACTCTTTGTCTGAGCAGGGAAATGAGAAGGGACTCTGAACTTGTAAGAAGTTGATCTAACGTGAATAAACAGATGACATTCTGATGAGGATAAACTCACGTTAGTGGCCAGGATTCAGCGAGCTCCTGCAGCGCATGCAGGATGGACGCACGTACGTAGGCCCAGTGCAGAATTACGTTTGCAGTA